TTTCCTTCTATGCTACTGATATCCACCGACCTATCTACTTGTTTGTACATTTCATTTGATCTATTATCACTTTGGTAAACACCTTTGAATAGATAAGGCTCTTCACTTGTCTCGCTCAGTAGAAAGGTACACAAAAGAATGACCGCGTTTTCTAAAGCACGTTTTTGAGATAAAATCTCGTTCACATGACATGAAGTTTGCATTATAAGCATACAAGTTCTCGTACACGCCAGCAAGCACTGCGAGACTACAAAATGGCGGCACCCTGTCGCCGAATGTAAACAAACCGCGCGATTGCATAAACGCTTATCTATGGCATGGAACACCAAAATCCGATAAATAATTTTAAAAAATGTGTTTCTCAGGAAGAAAAACCGGAGGTTTTCAGGATTTTTTAGAAATATCCAGGTATATCCGGAAGACTTTCATCATTACATATGGAACAAACCCAACGTCATCTCTCACTTGACGAAACTCCAACCTATGACATATGGAACAAACCAAATGTCATCTCCCACTTGACAAAACTCCTCTCTATGACTTACCCCCCCGACGAATAAAAGACAAATAATTTTGAAATTAAAAATGGTTAAAAGTGTTATTTGGCCTTTAAAGTTGCTATGAGTTGTAAAACAACATTTTCAAGTATTATACGTACTCCCAAAACCAAAACAGAAATAATTAGTGAAGTACCAGAAGTTTCATTTAAAATTTTTGGATAATGCATTTTTCCTTAAAATGCTCTGAAAAAAGACTAAGCCCAAAGACTAAGGTGCATGTGTACACCAAGTGACTTACTCTCACCACTGTTGCATGCATTTCAATGGGACCCTCCCCTCACAAGTAGATATTATACAAATGATACTCTGAACATTATCACTACTTTTTCTTTTGTAACTATTACGGCTATATTTTGTGTAAAATTAACAACTTGTTAGGCCTAGAAATCAAATATGAGTAGGTGGTTGTGTGTCTGTCAATAAAGGAATTAAACACTAGTAATTATTAGCATCTGACTGATCAGTAAATTGTTCTACTTTAATATCAGTATACATCCCTATTTCAAACAGTATATTAACTTATAGAATTTTTTATTTATTAACAAATACTTTCCACACAAAAAAATCCTAAACTTTGTATTTTTATAAAATCATTTTTCACAGAAAGTTATGTATAGAAATTCATCTTTGTCTGTGCTGAGCAATATGGATATGTACACAAAGCAGTAATAATGCATGATTAAATCAACCACTGAAAGTTATATCACTGTGATAGTATACAAAAATAAACATAGACTTTAATTAATAGGGAATATTAGTTGTTTTCCAAAATAAACATAAACTGTAATCAATAGGGAATATTAGTTGTTTTCCAAAATAAACATAAACTGTAATCAATAGGGAATATTAGTTATTTTCCAAAATAAACATAGACTGTAATCAATAGGGAATATTAGTTATTTTCCAAAATAAACATAGACTTTAATTAATAGGGAATATTAGTTGTTTTCCAAAATAAACATAAACTGTAATCAATAGGGAATATTAGTCATTTTCCAAAATAAACATAAACTGTAATCAATAGGGAATATTAGTTATTTTCCAAAATAAACATAAACTGTAATCAATAGGGAATATCAGTTATTTTCCAAAATAAACATAAACTGTAATCAATAGGGAATATTAGTTATTTTCCAAAATAAACATAAACTGTAATCAATAGGGAATATCAGTTATTTTCCAAAATAAACATAAACTGTAATCAATAGGGAATATTAGTTATTTTCCAAAATAAACAAACTGTAATCAATAGGGAATATTATTGTTTTCCAAAATAAACATAAACTGTAACCAATAGGGAATATTAGTTATTTTCCAAAATAAACAAACTGTAATCAATAGAGAATATTAGTTATTTTCCAAAATAAACATAAACTGTAATCAATAGGGAATATTAGTTATTTTCCAATGACCGGCATGTTGGAGGTGAGATTTCCTAAATTATACCGGAAAATAACAAGAAAAGCAGCCTAACCTTCTTGATACTGATAGGTAAAAGAGTATGTCATGACCTTTTTACAGATACCTTCAAAATTTAACTATATCAATGTATGTTAATAAACTTGGCATAAAACTTTTGTTCATAAATCATATCTTAGTACTATCTAAGTTTAATTTCAAAAAGTGTAAAATTTTAGCCTCCAAAGTATAAACTTTATTACCTAATGTGAGCTAACATCTTTCATAAAATTGAAATACAAAATCCTATGTGACAGAGAAAAACGTGAGTGCTAGAAATGTGTAGATACCTGGTCAACCTTAATTACAATGAAAGAATACAAGTGAAAATAAAACCTATTTTAAACATACAGATTATCATAAAAAGAATTTAAGTATTGTTCAGTGCTTACCATATAAATACTACAATTAAAAAATTTTAATTATAAGTTTGAAGCTTGCAATGGCACTTACGGAATTTCTCTAAAGTTGACCTCATTTGTTTCGTTTTCTGCAAACTGTCCTGTTGATGAGAAACACAAATTTACTTTAGATATAAAAGTTGTCACACAATACAAATAAGTTCTAAATAGCTTTTATATAAAATAAGGAATGAGAGTTGGAAATAATACTAATAAATACAACTTGTAAGCTGTACCATACCCATCAGAGTAACAGCCAAAATGCTACAAATATATGTTTTGGAAATATACCATCAGTTTCTGCCTTGAAACCCATGCTGGAATAGAAATAATTTATGTGCAGTTAAAATGTTAGATCAGATCTCAACTAAAATATCAGGTCATCCCATAAGTTCTGTCCGGATTTTAAATAAAGAAAATGAGTGATCAAATCTTACATTTTATTGAAA